GGGTAGTCAAAGAAGGCTTTAAGGAGGAGGTGGGCTGGGAGGGGAAATCAGGCAGAAGAGAAGGCAACAAGCAAGACACAAGCATGCTCTGGGCACCGGTGGTGCACACCTGTAATTCTAGCTACTTGGGAGGCTGAGACTGGGAAAATCAAGATTCAAGGCCAGCTCAGGTAGTTCCAGAGACCCCATCTCCAAAAACGACCAGAGCAAAAAGGATTGGAGGTACGGCTCAAAAGGTAGAGAGCCTGCTTTGCAACCATGAAGCCCTGCGTTCAAACCCCAGTACTGCCAAAAAAGAGGAAAAAAAAAAGAGACAAACACGCTTGTGAAACATGTGCTTAGTGTCATTGAAGATAGACCCACCAAGCTAGCAGGTCTGTGGGTGTGCAGCAGGAGGTGAGGCTGGAAAGGCAAGTGGAACATAAACCGGATGCCCAGTCATTTTAAAACGAGGCCACCTTTTGCTGTGCAGATTAAAGTGGTAATAGGTGTCTGCTATTGTGTTGGCACAGAGCAGACGTGCAGTGAATGAGTTGAGCATGGTGATTCATACCATAATCTCAGCACTTGGGAGGCTGAGGCAGGAGGATCAAGAGTTTCAGGCCAGCCTGGGCTATATAGTGAGACCCTGTCTCAAACAAGCCACAAACCAACCAACCAACCAACCAGGCCTGTGTGGGGTTTTATTCTTTTTGCAAAGACTGGGAGAAAATAACCTTGTTTCTCAATGCTACTAATTCTTGCTATATGTATAGAACGCTTATTGTGTGTTTATTCAGCTAAGACTACTTCCCCATGAGGTGATGGGGACTAAAAAGAAGTCACCAAAAGCCCAAAAGGTGGGGGCACTTCATTGGCACCTTTTTGGGTGTGATAACCCAGCCCAGTCCCTCCAGCATGTACTGCTACATTCCTCAGACCTAACATGGGAACTAGGGGAGAAAGCTCCTGGCAGGGTTATGGATCATTTGATCTATTCAAAGAAGATATTTTCCTTTTAGTAAGGCAGGGTGGTCTTTAAAGCAGCTGGCAGCTGAAGGAGCTGGGCCTCATGACCCAAGAGTTAGAAGGCCACCTGGTGGCAGACTTGGCAGGGGACCAGGAGGAAATAAAGCCTGAGAGAACACTAGAGTTTGGAAGCAAAAGCATGGAGCAAGGGTGGCCCTTTGGAAGGCTATGACCTCCCAGCTGTGAGATGTCAGACACGTTCCTGAGCCTTCTGGGCTCCACTTTCCTCATCTATAAATGGGATAAAAATCAATCCCACAAGCTTCTGATAGAGTTCAACACAATGAATGAAGTGCCTACCACACTACTGGGGGTATTTTTACTATTTAGAAAGCCTTAATTGAGCAAAATAAAAATAATACACTTATCATTTAGTGAGTAACAAAACTGTTGCAAATGTTTGGTTCAATTTACTTGCCACAACCTCTATTTTGGAGACAAATTAGGCTCACAGAGGTTAGGTCATCTGACTTCTCAGTGGCCGAGCTGGGATCTAGAGGCAGTTCTGCCTCAGGTTCTCTACTTTGTTACTTTCCAGGTCCTGCTTCTTATATCAGCCAGAGAGACACCTGCACTTGGAAGACTCTTTGTTTTTAAGTCAAAACAACAACAACAACAACAACAAAAACCAATGCTGGGCACCGGTGGCTCATGACTGTAGTCTCAGCTACTCAGGAGGCAGAGATCAGGAGGATTGAGGTTTGAAGCCAGCCTGGGCAAATAGTTTGAGAGGCCATACCTCGAAAAACCTTTCACAAAAAAAGGATGGTGGAGTGGCTCAAGGTGAAGGCCCTGAGTTCAAGCCCCAGTTCCGCAAAAAATTTATAAATAAATAAATAAATAAAACAAAAAAAAAACCCAACCAAAATATGTTAACCCATCTCACTTATGATAAGTAGAATTAAAGAAAATGGGATTTTTGACCATATAGGGGAGATTTTGGGGTGTAGTGGCAACTGGAAAAACAGCTAATCAACCCAACTACAGGTTTTCCTCTAATGTTCTTACTCTAGCAAGAAAGTTCTAGGTGGAAAAGGGGGCTTCATCTTTGATTTTGGTAAGAAGAGCTGTATTGCTACTGCCACTGCAATATCAACAAGTTCCATTTTTCTCCCCCAGAACTCAAGACATTTTGAAGATTTGATAACACTGATCTAAAAGTATACAGTGTAGATTAAGTAGCTCAGGAGGGAATGGTTGGCCCTAGTAACCAAATACACACTTTTTTTTTTTTTTTTTAGCAAGAAACGTTTTTTTTTTTAAGCAAATTGTAGATAGCCTCACCTTAGTTCAGGTTAGGTTTTTGATACCAAATGAGTTTTGGTGGCAAACTGTTGAAAACTGGATCCCAGAATTGTTTTTAAGTTTCAGGATTGTGTGTAAGGGTCATAACAACAATCCCCAGCATCTACCAAATGTTTATCTCATGCTAGATATTCTAATTGTACACTATGTCAATTGATTATGAAAATTTAAGTCACAGCATGGGTACTATGAATACATATACAACACTGTATAATTCTATAATGTATAACATAGGACAATGTAGTTGTTAAGAGTATGGGCACTCTAGCTAGTTAGGCTGCCTGGGTTATAATTTGTTTACTAGTGAATAGCTGTAACTCTATCAAATGAGTTAACTTCTCTGGGTCCAGCTTGCTCATCTGGGAAATGGGGAACAATGTTGATACCTCATAAGGGTTGTTGTGAGGATTAAATGAGTTACTTGGTAAGAAGTGTATGGCACATAATAGGGGTGTTATTATTTTAATTTGCACACCAGCAAACTAAGCCTTAAGGACATTTAATAACTTAATACACAGCTGTTACATGGGGAGTTAGAATTTGAACCCAGGCAATTCAACTGCAGAGACTACGTTCTCTGCTACTTTTTGTGTTATAGGCAAACAAGACAAGAATCGAAGTAGCTACTAATCTAGAAAGATGTGAAATTTAAAGGTTAGTTGTGAGGCAGGTGTGGTGGCACACACATGTAATCCCAGTACTCAGGAGGATTGACAGATTGAGGCAGGCCTAGGCTACATAGCAAGACCCTGTCTCAACAAACAAGTCCCTAGTTGCTGTCCTGAGAATGTTGGGCTCTTCAGACAATGGTATCTCAGTAATGTAAAGGCACAAATGATGGTCACATGCCAACTTGATAGGTCCCACAGATCAAATAACTAGCTAACTTCTCAACTAATAATTGGTTTTCACTTGAGATCTGATCAACTGTTCATGACCTTGTTCCCCACTGGCAACTCACCATCAGGGCCCTGGCGGGCAGCAGCGTGCAGCGCTGTGTCCCCATGGCGGTCCTGGTGGGCAGGGTCAGCCCCAAGACGAAGCAGCAGGCACAAGGCAGGGGCATCGTGGCGGGCACAGGCCCGGTGGAGTGGTGGGGGCTGCCCAGCATCCACATCAAGGCCTGGGTGTCGCTGGAGAAGGGCCTGGGCCCTGACCAGTCGTCCTGCAGACAAGTAACGACGGAAGCGACGTTCTCGGCGTTGGCGGCGGGAAGTGGAGGCCATGGAATTCTTGGGCTGAGGAAGAAGGAAAAAAAGGCAGCAGTCACGACCAGTCTTGGCTGGTCCGCCCTCTCCATCTCAGACATTCCCTCTTGTTTCTCCCTTTACTTTTTGTTTTTTCCCCACATCTCTAGAAAAAGATGAGGCTTATCTTAACCCTCATCCCTTATCAGATCATAGGTTCGAAAGAAAAATGAAGTGGGGTTGAGATCACAGACTTAATTTTTTTACGTAAATTTGGATTAAAGGATACATAATTACTTAAGGCTCGAGAGCGTGGGTAAATTTTAATAACAGACTTTTGAAAAAAAAAAACCGAATTGGGTCTGATGGGGGAAATTTTTATCAGCCAAATTTGAATTTTAAAAAAGTCACAATTTCAAATAATCTAGAAATTGAAATTAATGTACCCGGCAGACAGATGTAGAGGCTTCTCCCTCTGAGACCTGGGGGGAGGGGTTACTCATCAGACCTGCCCCCCGCCTCCCAAGTACCCCCAGAGCTGTAGGCCCAAGGCCTGTGTTTAAGACGCTCGGAGAAGGGAGGCGGGAAGGGCGGAGACACTCCAGGTTGGCGGAAATGGCGCAAACATAGACGCAAGTTTTGGGCGGAAATGAACTATGAGGCGCATTACAGGATGTAGTTCCGCCCCGACCGGGTAGTTTCTTCGTCAGACTTCCGGGGGGAACTAAGGAACTTATGGTAAAGGGTCCTCTTGAAACCAGAAGACTGGATGAGAGGCGAGGAAAAGGAGAGGCCAGGGCAGGGAGAAAGACGGGCTATTTGGAGGTTTATCCGAGCCGTCTTAGGTAGTAGTAGAGAGGGGATGGTACCGTGACTAATCGAAAGATGAAAAGATAAAGAGAGAAAACGGAAGGTAAAGACAATAAAAATCACAGTGAAAATGAAAAACCAAAACCACAATGAAGCAAAGAATAGGTTATAGACACATTGTAACCATATACAATGAATTACCCCTGTACGACTAATATATGCTAATAAAAATGTTGAGAGAGAGAGAGAGAAAGAGAGAGAGAGATAGAGACACGAAATGGCATTTAAGAGGGTTGCAGATGTGGCTCAAGTGGTAGAGCACTTGGCCTAGCAAGCGCGAAGCCCTGAGTTCAAACGGCCCTCCCCCCCAAAAGAAAAAGATATGAAGAAAAAAAACCACAGGATAGGGCAAGTGACATGTATGAAGAAATTTGGACTTGGGAAACATGTAGAAAGAGATGGGAGATGGAAAAGAGGAAAGAGTTGGGGGAAATAAGAAGCCCAGCATCCTCTTTTTCCAGCGCGTGTCACACGATACAGCCTTACCTTCTCACCCCATTCTCATCGCCTTTATGCCTCCTCTGAGACCACCAATCAAGCTCTCTTCCTCCCACCCAAATACTCCTCCCCTCTGCTACCCTATCCCTAGACCTTGGTGACTGGGAAGGGTCTGCATCTGCCCCCAAATTGGCCGGCAGCTTAGGGCCAGGTCTCTGCTGCTCCCAGGCGGTCCTTTTGGGTATTACCTGAGTGAGAATGGAGAGGAAGACCAGTCATCAGTGGAGGATCAGATTGGGGGAGACACTGGTGCAAGGAGGCTGAGTGAAAAGGGGAGCACTAAGACCCAGGGATAGTAGAAGACTGCAGCAAACGAGCTGGAGGAGAAGTAGGCGCTGGGGGCGGGGGGATGGGAGCCATCTGGTACCTTGGTCGCCTCCAAAACAACATTATCCCTAGCCACTGAAATGGCCAGCCAGTCCCAGGGTATCCAGCAGCTCTTGCAAGCCGAGAAGCGGGCTGCTGAGAAGGTGGCAGATGCCAGAAAGAGTGAGTCTCCTCTTTTCTCTTTTAGGGAGTGTAAAAAGAAAATTAAGGGTCTGTGGGTTAGCAAACATTTGAGTCTGTAAGAAAATCCAAGGCTGGTAGAGAGAGCTGGGGGCTGGAGGCTGATTAGGAGGGAAGAAATGGGTGGATGTTAGACTCTAGCTCTTGGCTGACTGAGAGAAGGCTGCATAACTTTCCGGAAGGGACTGACCCCTACTATCACACTTTGTAGGGGATTCATCCCCATCCACTGTCCCTTTTTCTGTCTCTAGGGAAGGCTCGGCGACTGAAGCAAGCTAAAGAGGAAGCACAGATGGAGGTAGAGCAATACCGCAGAGAGAGGGAGCAGGAATTCCAGAGCAAGCAGCAGGCGGTGAGTAGAGGGGGAGTTGAGATGGGATCCATCAGGTGCAACTTGGTGAGTACATCTAGTGAGGTGTGTGCAGGTGACTCAACAAGAAACTAAGGTAGCAGGAGGCTGAGGGGACCCTGGCAAGGACCACAATATTGGTAAAGTTTTGACATGATATGTAAGAGAGTCTGGGAGTTTTGAAGGACATATACAACTTGTGGGAAGAATCAATCACCTATGTGGCATATGATAACATTTAGGGTGGAGGGAAGGGTTTTGTAGGCAGTGAGATGGTAGGGATTTTATAATCTGTTTTAGGATGAGGTTGCATTTCAGGTCTTAGAGAATAGGAGATTGTGTTGATCTCTTTGGCAACTGGTTATTTCTGTGGGATGGAGATAGTTTTGAAAAGGCATTTCTTCTTGGTCTTTCTCTCCACATGCCTGTGCCTTTCTTTCTCTACTTCTGCTTTTTTCTTTCTCTCCTCCACCCTTTTCTCCACCCCTCAGGCCATGGGCTCCCAGGGGAACCTGTCGGCTGAAGTGGAACAGGCTACAAGGCGCCAGGTACAGGGTATGCAGAGCTCCCAGCAGAGAAACCGGGAGCGTGTTCTGGCCCAGCTGCTTGGCATGGTCTGCGACGTCAGGCCCCAGGTCCATCCCAACTACCAGATCACTGCTTAGGATTGTCGTCTAGGACCCACTACAGGGTTTGACTTCTCCTGCCAGTTCCTTTCCTCAAAGAAATCTCCTAAATCAAGATCACTTCCCTTGCCTAGCATGCATAAGGCCCTGGGTTCAATCTTTAGCACCAAAACCCCCAAAAGACCCCACCAAAAATCACTTCCCACCATAATCATCCTCTCCTTTCCATTCTCTGGAAATTCTAGGAGGCAAAGTCTAATAATCTCCTGTGACTTATATTCTGCTCAAACCCTCACTGGGACCTTCTAAATGCCCAAATCATTCTCACCTAACCCTTCTGTGAAACTTGTAGCATGGGGAAATAGGGATTCGGAAAACATCCTGACTTCAGAGTCTTGACAGATTTGGGTTCCTCTCCCAACTCTGCCCTCTGCTGGCTGTGTAAGTGGGACAAGCTGCATTGAAACCTCAGTGTCCTCCTCTGATGAAACTGAAATAATAATAAAGCCTCCTTGGTGAGAAAGGTCAGGAGTCATTCTGTAAAGAATGGCAGGTAGTTGTTGTGATTCAATAAATGGCAACCCCATGATATAATAACCACTCTCTGCTCACCTGCCCAAACCTAAATATTCCTGCTTCCTAACTTTTGTCTGTGGCTAATTCCACTCATTCATTTTGTTTAAAAAAAAAAAAAATTTTTTTTTTTTTTGGTGGTGCTGGGGTTTGGACTCAGGGCCTCATGCTTGCTAGGCAGGGACTCTACCACTTGAGCCACTCTGCCAGCCCTCCATTCATTCATTTTGTGACCCTAGTAATTCTCTGAAGAAATTGTTCTTCTCATCTCTTTACCCCAGAGACCTTATGATCCCTGAAAAGATGAAATGATGGCCTCACTAAGCCCCTCTACTATGGTTCCAGGTAGATACAACATCTTTTTGTGTCTCTTGAGCTAACCTTTCTCTTAATTGAATTTCCTTCCTTTTTTTATGTCCCCAAAGACCTATCAGATGCTTACTGTTTCTTGAGATCAGAAGTGATGCTGTGTCCCCCATATGCATGGCCTTCCTTTCTATATCAATACCTTGTTTTCCCTTTGTAACAATAAAAAAAGTGTCAATAAAATAACTATGGATAAATCAGTTGGTGAGTCACAGCCTTCTTTTGCCCCATCAATTTTCACTTTTGTCACTCTCTTGTTTCATGTTTACATAATCTCCAAACACTTCACAAGAATGGTCTTTGAAACTTGTTGGACAAACAAAAGCAAATAGTACTCTTTCTCTCAAGTGAGAAATGTGATTACTCAATTTTAAGAGAAAAGCTGGTGTGTAGGAACAAGCACTCTTTGCTTCTGACCTTGTTTTGTTTCGTAACACTTGAAACTTCACATTATGGTTATGTGCTTCATCTGTTATGTAAACTCTGTAGAGACAGGGCTGTTCACTGTTGCATCCTTAGATCCTAGGAAAGCACATAGTAGGCAGTTGATAAATGCCATAGAATAAATTGATACCAGGGTTGGGGAAACTGCTCTTCTATGACTTCATCCTTGGATCAGAAGACAAGCGTGCTTTACCAAGGATTTGAACCAAAGAGGTAACCTGCAGTGTATTTATTATTATTATTATTAATTTTGTGGTACTGGGGTTTGAATTCAGGGCCTACACCTTGAACCACTCCATCAGCTTTTTTTTGTTTTGAAATAGGTTCTCCCTAATTATTTGCCTGGTGATGGCTTCAAACTGCAATCCTCCTGATAACTGCCTCCTGATTAGCTAGAATTACAGGTGTGAGCCACCTGCGCCTGGCTCTGTAGTGTGTTAGTAACCAGATTCTTGAAGTGGGGAGGCAGAATATAGTAAGAGAATTACAGGTGTTTGGATTCTGCTTGTCACCTTATCTGTACTGCTTTGGACATGCAGCTTTACTTCTCCAAGTTCACTTATTTATTTACAAAATAGGAATAACGGTACCTACTTCTTAGTGTAAAATGGTTAAGTGTGCTAACAGAGAAAGCACCGAACACTTGGAATTTTTATTAAGCAGCAGGACATTACATCTGACTAATCTAGCATTCCAAAGAGAGGGATGCCAAAAGTCTCATGGGGTAGGGGAGAATCTAGGCCGAACAATGGAGCTGTTGGGGTGGGGCTAATTAACAATATTTATGGAAAGTTGTGTAACTCTCGAGGCTTACCATTTATTTTTAACAGTTGGGTCGGAATCTAGACCCCTTTCTTCCCCTCCACCTCAGAACACTTTCCTGACTCACACTTGCCAACCTCATTTTGAACAATTGCCGCTCACCCTCCCCATGGCTGGGAAGGGGTAGGAGCAGGACTTCTGGGCACATCTCACGCCAAGTTCCTGAGTCTTCAGCTGTAGCAAGACCACATTTAGACAAGCCCAGCAGGCCGCAGGTCACCTTGACCACTGGACCAAGGACCCCGTGGGAACTTGCAGCTTCCTCCCGCCGCGCTCGTTTCTCGTGCGCTCACAGAGAGGTGCCCAGAGAGAAGACCTGTGTGGAGAAAACGTACAGGATCACGGGAAATGGGGGGGAAAAGAAAGGAGAAGCGAAGAAAAATAGCAGTAGGAGGAGAGGTTAGTTTCCTTTTTTTGTTTCTGGCAGCAGCGGAGGAGTTAGAGTGGCTTTAAAAAAAATTTCTGACAGGCATTCGCCAAAGGCAACTCCGGAGCGCGCGCGACCATAGACCTGGTGAAGGTCCTTCTTCTGGCACCTTGCGCCTGCGCTCTGGCAGCCGAGAAGGCGGGAGGCCGGGGTAGAGGGAAGCTTGAAACCGGAAGTGAAGGAAGGTTCCTTCTTTCGTCTGTGTTTCTGCCGCCATACGCGCTCGCCCTGCTAAGGTAAGTTTTGGCCTTCGTTACTATCCGCCTCCATCTGCGCTTCTCCCTGGTCATCCTGTTACGTGGATTCTTAATACCTCTTCCATAAGCGACGGTCTGGTTGCTAGGGCCTAGTTGGGTAGTTATTTCCATTGCTTTCATCCCTTTCCAGAGCAAAGAGCTTTTGGGGGGAGGCGAGGAGGCAAGGGGGGCCCAATCCAAGATGGTGGCTCCGGCGCCATTGTGTTCCCTTTGCTCCCGACTCTTTCAATGGGTCCCTCGCTTATACGAGGCCTTAGCGACGACGAGAGGCGGCGCCAGCTGTCCCCTGGTCCTGGGCATTTGTGGAGGGCGGGGCTTTTCTCCACCGGTGGTGGGATTAGGAGAAGCCCACGTTTGGGCCCAGTTGCACTTTTCTCATCCCTGCTTGCCCACGGTTATTTGAAGCGCTTTCTAAATATTTACAAGTGCTGTCATGTATGCTTTTTGGAAAGTCATCTGGAGGAGTGGAAGAGTGATGTAAGACCACTTGGTAAATATTCTGTTAAGCTGTAGCGGGGCTACTTCTCTCAATTATTTTTTATGACTACTAAAGTTTACCAATTTTTTGCAGTGCTGGGAACTGAACCCAGTGCCTTGCGCCTCCTAGGCAAGCGTTCTATCACTGAGCTAGCCTTAACGTTTTGCTTTTGTTTTTTTCCTACACTAATTACATAGGAGTTTTCTTTTCTCCTTGCATCTGTTTATCTTTCCTTTATTTCTTCCAAGTGCTGGATTACAGACAGGCTTGAGCCGTCAGGCCTGCCACACAGGTGTTTTCTTAAGCAGTGGAAGGGTACTGAGAAGTGGGAGGTGAATGGCAGCCACATGATGTTTTCATTGTGAGAAATGAGCGCTTTGCGCCGTGCTGACCTTAATCTATCACCCTTGACTGATGGCTGCCTTGTTAGGAATCCATACCTCGAGATTATAGAGAAAGCAGTCGTCTTTGAGATTTTAAAGGATTTTTCTCATCCTTCTGATTTCCCCTTTCCAAGTCAGTCGTATTCACCCTTTCATGATCTATTCTTTTTCCACTATTGTTATTACAGATTAGGAATTTATAACTTGGTTTTCTGTTACTCTTAACTGGTTTCTGCTAGTGTGATCCTGAATCTCCTTAGAAACTATGTCCCTCAAGACCACTTTTCTCGTTTTTCCCTATTTGCTGTTCATTTTATGTTTTGTATCTTTGTTACTTTTTTTTCCCCCTAGGTAAAGGGTGCTTATAGTTTAGGGAAAGTAAGAAGAATGTGGGGATGGAATAGAGTTGGTGAAGGTCTGCTCTCAAGTCTGATTAAGGTTTTTTTTGTCTTGTTTCTTCCCCCTCCCCCAGCTCTTCTATCAGAAACTAGTATCTTTCCTTTGCTGTTCCTCAAGCTTCCCTCTCCCCCTTTTTTCCTATTCTGGGAGAACTTATCCAGAGATCTCTTCCCTTATCCCCCTGCCGGCCTAATTATGGCAGAGAATGATGTGGACAATGAGCTCTTGGACTATGAAGATGATGAAGTGGAGACTGCTGCTGGGGGAGATGGGGCTGAGGCCCCTGCCAAGAAAGATGTCAAAGGTTCTTACGTCTCCATCCACAGCTCTGGCTTTCGTGACTTCCTGCTCAAGCCAGAGTTGCTCCGGGCCATTGTTGACTGTGGCTTTGAGCATCCATCTGAAGGTAAATTTTCTGCTGGGCATAGAGTACTAATTAGGCAATTTAAGGATACAAGAAAAAGATATGTCTGGTTCCTCAGGTGGTAAAGATTTTTATTTAGGGTAGAGCAGGAAATAAGAACCAAGATACAATAGAAGAGGCTCGTGTAGTCTTGTCTCTCATGGTAGCACAAAAGTGCTAGCGATCCCAAGACAACTTAGAGGACTGCTATTTGTTTTTGTGCCTGGCTTGCTTGTTCATTTGTCTTTAATTTTGTCATTTTGCCTAACTTAAGTAGGAGAAATGGCATGTGGCCAGTATTCAAATGTCACGAATTGTTACAGTTTAGGAAAGGAGCATTGAAGGTGAGCTCTTGGTAGATGCCAGAGGGTTGTTAGCACTAGTTGGGAGGCCTGAAGGAGGCAAGAGCTAGAAGGAACGAAGTCTGATTTGGAGAAAAGTGTGATTGAGGGGTCAAAGACAGGAAAGATTTAAAAGTTGGCAGGGATCAGGTAAACATTTTGAAAATTGTTTGGGAAGAAATGGGTTTGGCATGGTAAAAAGGGTCATCGAGTTACCTGAGGCTGAAGTCTAATTTGTCTTTTCTCTTTCCTTTCATTTTCTAGTCCAGCATGAGTGCATCCCTCAGGCCATTCTGGGAATGGATGTCCTGTGCCAGGCCAAGTCAGGCATGGGAAAGACAGCAGTGTTTGTATTGGCCACACTGCAACAGTTGGAGCCAGTTACTGGGCAGGTATATTTGGGGAGGCTGCGGGGAGATGTATTTTTGGTTAGGAATGAAGTGGAAATGTGTTCCTGGCCCAGCTACCCAATGCTTTGAGAGCTTCTGAACTCTGTCATCCTTGATAACCAGGGGGATGTTGGGTAGTAAGCGTAAGCTTAATGATGTAAATCTCAGGATGAAATCATTTATGATCTGCCAGGTGTGCTTTTGTGACACTTTCCCAGTGGGAATAAAAAAGGGGTATATATGTACTGTATGTTTATCTCTATGTGCTTCCTTTTTAAGGTATCTGTGCTGGTGATGTGTCACACTCGGGAGCTGGCTTTTCAGATCAGCAAGGAATATGAGCGCTTCTCTAAATACATGCCCAATGTCAAGGTAAGCCAAGGTAAAGAAACTTGAGAGGGAGGATCAGGGTGTTAAGAGCATCAGAAACTTGTAGATCAACAATCTTCTGTTTCTCTCAGATGTTAAACCCGTATAGGAGAACCTCGTGTACATATTACTGAAAGTTTCTGTGAATTTAGAGTGAACAGAGATTTTACTAAAATGTAGGGTTCATTTCAATTTGCATTATAGTTTAATCCAGTGTAAATAAACCTTGTAACATGGGAACTCATGATCGGGCTCTGGATGACGCTGACCACACACTGCTCTTTTGTTATTTTTTTTTCTTCACTGACTTTGAATCATTTTACTGTGCTTTGCCTGATAGTTTGAGAAATTTGGGGTGTGTGGCAAGAGAAAAGTTGGAATCTCTAAAACAGCTATAGTGTAGTGTGTGCATTTTAAGAGATTGAGAGATGTCTGGCTTGAGGTGTTTTCTATTATAAAACCTTGATATTCATGGTAGCTTCAGCATCATTTGGGAACTTGATGGAAATACAGATAATATGCATTCTATCCCAGACCTACTGAGTATTAAAATGCATTCTAACATGATGCCTATGTGATTGGAGGTTAGGAGACACTGGTATTTGTAGCTTCCTTCCTGGTTAGGGTGGGGTGAAGAGCAGTGCCTATTTATTTATTTATTGGTGGTTCTGGGGTTTGAACTCAGGACCTTGTATTTGCTAGGCAAGCACTGTACCACTTGAGCCACACCTCCAGCCCAAGAACAGTATTTTTGCTCAGATTTTCTTTCTATTTATTACTCTTCCCACACACATCTTTTGTTTTTGTTGTTTTGTTTTTTTGTTTTTGGCTGTACTGGGGCTTGAACTGGGAGCCACCAGTGGTCGGCTCCCCCCTACCCCCTTGAGACATGTTTTCCTTGTGTAGCCCAGGCCTTAAACTCCCCATCCTCCTGCCTTCCCCTCTGGAGTGCTGGGGTTACAGGCCAGGATGCCATTTATTACTTTGTGTTTTTAATGGAAATAGGAATGTTTTGAGTCATCAGTAAACTGAGAGTAGTTTCTTAAAAACCAAAGTATGTATGATAAAAAAAAAAAATGCTTAAGTTGCAGGTGGCTCACACCTGTAATCCTAGCTGCTCAGGAGGCAGTGATCAGGCAAATCTTGGTTCAAAGCCAGCCCTGGGCAAATAGTTCTGGAGACCGTATCTCAAGAAAAACTTTCACAAAAAAAAGGTCTGCTGGAGTGGCTCAAGCACTAAGAACACCTGCCTAGGAAGCCTGAGGCCCTGAGTTCAAACCCCAGTGCCGTCCAACAAAAAATGTTTAATACAAAAGGTCTTAAAATGAAAAGGTTTATTCCCATCTATGATCCTATTTTACAGAAGGTAATCACGTTTCCTAAAAAAGAAAAATGGTCCTTCCTGTTAGGTACTGGTTTCTGAATTTGTCACATAGGCCCTTTGGACATTTTTTTATGTAGCATTATTTAATATGTGTATACTATTTTTTTCTTCTGGTAGTTTGAAACTGGATTTAATTCTTTAAATCTGATCTGCAACCATGTATATGTATATACCTATGTGTGCTTGTATACTTCCACTGCTAAATTGTCAGTGGGTTTACTTTCTGTACTTTCATCAATCTCTCTTACTTGGATGAGGTTAAAAGTTGAAAATGAGGAAACCATATACGTTGTTGTAACTGTGGAAACATAGTTGCATTCCTTCTCTGTAGGTTCAACTTCACCCTTGTGCCACTCAAAAGAGAATGTTGTTGATGTCAAGATCAAATATGAAACCGGGCATAGTGGCATGTGCCTGTAATCCCAGCTGCTTGGGAGGATAAGGCAGAATTGCTTGGCCCTAGGAGTTGAAGGTCAACCTGGGCAACATAGCCAGACCACTTGTCCAAAAAAAATCAAATAGAAATTGTTTCACTTTCCTTCTGCTCAAAATCATTAAAATGACTTGTTGAAGAGACTGGGCCACTTCTACAGAGTGTCCCATTCTGGTTACTCCCTCATGGTTGTTCCTCCACTCTAGGAATCTCCTCCCCCCAGAATCCCATCTGGAGGTTTTTTTGTTGTTCTTGATAGTACTAGAAGTTGAACTCAGGTCTTCACCTATGCTAGGCAAGCCCTGTACCGTTTGAGACATGCCCCAGCCCATTTTTGTTTTTGAGATAGGGTCTTGCTAACTTGGCCGGGCTGGCCTCCAACTTGAGATCATCCTGCCTCTGCCTCTTGAGTAGCTGGAATTACAGGCTTGTGTCATAACGTCCAGCTGTCCCTAATAATTCTTGTAAACTGAAATTTATATTTGAAAGCTTAACTGATGAAAGTTAAACATTTTGGGGAGTAGTATTCATAGGTGATTGTGTTTCCTGTTTCACTACAAACTTGGCTTACCTGTCACTTGTGATTTTTAGATTTACCATAGGAACAGAAAAGATGGGCCAAAAATTAGGGTCATGATAATCTGATTCCTTGCTTGTTCTTTTCCTGTTAAAACAGAAGGTAGTTGGTGATGTTATTTGATACTGTATTAAGGCCCAAATCCTAACAACCATTTGCTTGATGGTTAGCCTGAATCTAATTTGTGTAGGATTTGTGTGATGGTTCAGTTAAGAAAGCTTGGTGTTCATGTGCTTTTTTGTGGTGCTTGATGCTCCTCTGATTTTTTTTTTTTTTTTTTGGTGGAACCTCCAGTACACTCTAGTGATTTCTTGTTGTTATTCTTTTAATGAAGTTTCATGAGAAGAAGCGTTGTTAGATTGAGGCAGCAGAACCAAATGCATGTCGTGACTGCCTTCATTAGACATGTAATGTTAAACAAGTCAGTTTTATTTCTTCAGTGTTTTTTGAGGGGGAGGCACATAAGAGTTTTAGATGAGGTGATCTCTAAAGTTCCTTTTAGTTCTGAGTGTTCCTAACAATACTGGGGTTTGAACTCAGGGCCACGCTTGGTCTACCACTTGAACCACTCTGCCACCTCCTAACAGTTGGCTTAGATCAAACTGAAAGAATGGGAGCTCTGGGGAGTTTGGAATCTTCCTTGTGAAACTCTCTTCCATGATTTGGCAGGTTGCTGTGTTTTTTGGTGGTCTGTCTATCAAGAAAGATGAAGAGGTGCTAAAGAAGAATTGCCCGCATATCGTCGTGGGGACTCCTGGCCGCATCCTAGCCCTGGCTCGAAACAAGAGCCTCAACCTCAAACACATTAAACACTTTATCTTGGATGAATGTGATAAGATGCTTGAACAACTCGGTGAGTGGCCGTGCTAGGACTGGAGTAATGGTCTGGGGAGTTGTCCTTTAGAGCCAAATGATGTTTATTTGAAAAAGGAGCACTTCAGTGCAAAGACGACTCTTAATCTATCACCCATGACTGATGGCTCTGGACTGTATGCATTTTTTTTTCTGGTGCTGGGTATTGAACCCAGAGCCTTGACTATGCTGAACACATGCTCTACCCCTAAGCTACATAACCAGTTCTGTAAAGTTCTTCTTTTCTATGATAGATGTTCTTTACCTTTGAGAGTAGGGGACTTTTAATAATCTTAGGTATGTCATTCCCACCACTACCTTTTTCTTTATAGGTTTCTTACATTGTCTGTCACGGTAGAGTTGTTAACTGAAGGAGGAGACAGTCTATTCTCTGGCATGTCAGTACAGCACGTATGATCAGAATTTATAGCTGAATAAGTTTGTAAACTTAAGTTCTAGAATTAATTTGGTGATTGTGGGAGTTTATGTGATATTCTAGTGTGCTAAGTGTGGTTAGTAAAAGAAAATTTTTTTGCCTGCTGCCTGTGGCTCATACCTACAATCCTAGCTCCTTGGGAGGCAGAGATCAGGAGGCTTGAAGTTTGAAGCCAGGCGGGTCACATAATTTGGAAGACTATTGAAAATACCCACCAGGTGCCGGTGGCTCATGTCTGTAATCCTAGCTACTGAGGAGGGAGGTAGAGATCAGGAGGATCGTGGTTTGAAGCCAGCCCTGGCAAATAAGTTTGCAAGACCCTTAACCTAAATCCCTAACACAGAAAGGGCTGATGGAGTGGCTCAAAGTGTAGTCCCCGAGTTCAAGCCCCAGTACTGGAAAAATAAATAAATAAATAAAAAATAACACAAAGCAGGTGGTGGAGTAGCTGAAGTGGAGCACCTGCAAGGCCCTGAGTTCAAGCCTCAGTACCACCAAAAAAGAAAAAGAAATTTTTCTGTAAGAACTGAATTTTAGTGAATGGGAGAGTGGGAGTACATATAGCTCCAGAGAGAAGTCATTCAAAATGATGTTAGGCTATTCAAGATGGTGAGTTATATGATGGGCTCTAGGTAGAGTCATGTTTGCCTAACTTTTTAGGGAAGTGTGATTCAGAGGAGGCATGGAATGGACTGATCTCTAGAATGTACTAAGAGTTCAGTATTTGTAGACTGCTGGAGGGTGGGGGATTGGAGGAAAGAAGTTGGGAGAAGGGCCTATAAAGTATTTTTAAAAGACATTGTCCTTAGGAGCTTCTGTGATAGAGTTTTATCTTTATTTTGTAGACTTGGACTTTAGGATTTCATCATATTTCTTGCCCAATTAAAACATAACTGAAACCTTATCCCATATGTTTCTTTTTTCAGATTCATTGCTCTTTCCGTTGTGTTATTACAGTTTGATTTTTATAGCTGTTGGAGAAAATAGAGAGCCAAGGTCATTCCATGAAATAATTCCTTGTATATTCACTTCTAGTAGTCATCACCTCTTCTGATCTTTGCTAAAATCATAGGTGTTCATTTTCTTCTGTATTTTCTTTCTTCGTTTTGTAGACATGCGTCGGGATGTCCAGGAAATTTTTCGCATGACCCCCCATGAGAAGCAGGTCATGATGTTCAGTGCTACATTGAGCAAAGAGATCCGGCCAGTCTGCCGCAAGTTCATGCAAGATGTAAATACCCTTCTACCTTCTCTCCCTCCACTCCCCGCCTGATGCCTCCTTCCCTTCCTCGCCCTCTTCCTCCAGACTCCCTTATCCTTCAAGCGCCAAGAAGGGGGCTTGTGCCCATTTGGGAGTGATGACTCCTTGAAGAAACACAGAGTCAGAGACAGCTAGTGTTAGGGTCTGCGCGGGTGCCAGGGAAACTCCGGAAGACTTGGTCGGGTTAACGTGAGAGCGGGTAGTGTTCATTTTTTTTCTAAAATCCAGCATTTTTTGAACCTCTTCTCCCTTTTGGGGGAGGGCAGGATTTTCTGCCCTACCACCCATCCATCGTCTTCTACATATCCCATACAGCCACGCACCCTCAAGGTGGCATCAAACATACAGCTGGAGTCTTCTGTTCACCAAAACTCATACCTCCCAGTGGCAGGAGAGCAAGAGAGGGACAGTCAGATGGCAGGGCACGTCCAAAAGAAGAGCAAACACACAATCTGCCCCCTCCCCACCTCCAGGGGTGGGGGCCTTTGGCACCTCAATCCCCGATCCCCTACTCCTTCCCACCCGAACTTCCTTGCACCCATCGGAACCTCGGTTGATGTGAGCCGGCAGCAGAGAAGCACCATGGCACGACGAGGGAATGCAGACGGCACCAAGCAGTGGATGGCGGCAGCGGAGGCCGCGGGGAAACCTGACCAGGAAGCTGAGGACCAAACCAGCCTCTTTTTCCGTTCCCGGTTTTTTTCCTGAACCTAACATGTGCTGTGCCCCATTTTCCCCCATATGTGTTGGGGGAGGGGTATCCTAAATGGGGTGGTGGACTTTTTTTTTTTTTTTTTTTTCTAAAGAGATTATTTTTTAATACTCAAGAGAGGGGTGGGAAAGGTAAAAGCAGGGGGGTAGGGGGGCTCCCACTTGTATGTAACCAAGTGGTGTTAGGGTTGGGGCTGGAAGAGCCCGTTGAGCAGTGGAGTGTGTTCCTGTCCTCCCTGCAATGCTCCTTTCCTTCGGATAATTTTCTCTTGAGCTGTGCTTGGGTTAGAATTAGATTTGGTTTTTATTTTTATAGTACTGGGGTTTGAACTCAGGGCTTTGTGCTTGCCAGGCAGATGCTCTACCTCTTGAGCCACACCTCCATCTCTGAATTAGATTTGGAGGAAGCCATGGAACTTCTCTTTGGAAAGCCTGCCCTGCTAGCCTGCCTTATGGGATTATGCTTCTGGTTTTTGGGCTTTTTTCCCTTCCTCCCATGTTAAACACATCATGTTCCCTGGTTGATTATTAACTGTCTGGAGACAGTATGGAGAGTGTTAGGAAAATCTGACTTTGGAGTTGCCTTATGTCCACTTCTGTCTTTTTTTATATACTACTATTCTCCCCTTTAAGGGGGTGTATGTGTGTTTTTTTTTTTTTTTTAATTTAAAGATGAATGCCCATCTGCTCTTTGTTTTAAGTCCATTTATTGACTTTCCTGAAACTCTGTAGATGGTTTGTCTCTTGGTTCAGAGACCAGTCTCATCTAAAACTATTCTTTAGTGGTCCAAGAGCAAGTTTTATTCATATTGAGTAATTTTTTGCATGTTTTTTTTTTTTTAGAAAGGGTCTGGGCTGGGATGTAGCTCAGTGGTACAGCGCTTGCCTAGCATGCGTGAGGCCCTGGGTTCGATCCCAGCACCAAAAAAGAAAAGACAAAAAAAAAAAAAAAAGGAAAGGGTCTTACTATATAGCCAGGCTGACCTCAAACTGTCCATCCTCCTGCCTCAGCCTCCCGAGTGCTGGGATTACAGGTCTGCACACGTCACATGGCATTTTGATATGTCCATTACAGCATTCTCATCTTGGAAGTGTCCACTTGGCTAATGTGCATAAGATTCTCCTAGTTAAAACTGAAAGGGAAAAATCCTTGTCTCTTGCCCCATGTTCTTACAGCCGCTGTGATGGAGTTATTTTGACCTTGAGTCGTTGTTTTCCATCATTTCCCAGGTGTTCAGATCATGTTCTCCCTTTGAGCACTATCTCCCATTGTTCCCTCTACCCACCTCCATTTGAGGCAATGGCATTTTGCCATTGTGTGGTTTCACTGCTCTGTTACTTTTCGAAGTTTTTCCCCCTGACAGTTTTCAGTTGTGGGCCAGTCTTAAAACTCAACTGATAGGAAGGAAATTAAATCTAGTATGAAAGAGACCACAGCAAAATGGGTATTTTTGGTGTGGAGGGTGGGGTTTTCAATATTCCTCTCCCTATCCCCCCATGGGGGTGTATTGGAGATCAACTTCCTCCACCCCCCCCAGGTTTAACCCCCCCACTCTGCCCTCCTCCCGTTCCCTACTCCCTTCCTCCCCCCTCAGCCAATGGAGATCTTCGTGGATGATGAGACGAAGTTGACGCTGCATGGGTTGCAGCAGTACTACGTGAAACTGAAGGACAACGAGAAGAACCGGAAGCTTTTTGACCTTCTAGATGTCCTTGAGTTCAACCAGGTCAGTTGTTCAAGGTCCACTAAGGGTATGGGCATTGGATACCTTTCCAGCTATAGTAAAAACCTGTGTATTAGCCTTTTATCGAGGCAGCTGCATATATGATAGGAAGACTGGTGAAATTCTCTTAAAATGAGAATATAGATATAAATGTTTTGGAGAGCTAAGTGTGAGCAAAGTAGGAGCTGCTTTTCTGTTCCATGACTGGCATGGTTAGATAATAAAGACCTCAAGTAAGATAAATCTCAAAAAGTAAAATCCTTGAAGAGTTTCAGTAAGTTTATAAAAACGCTTATTTTTGGCATTTAGGGTTCTTAAATCTGTACTTTTTTTGTATTCTTTATTGAGACTAATCTTAGTTTACCTGGTTTGCACTAAAAACTACTTCCTGGAATTAGGTTTAGTGTTTTTTTTTTGTGAGCAAGAATATTAATCATGGTCTTTCTAGTTCTTAGTTGGAATTTTCAGCATGTTTCCATGAGGTAGCCTATCCTTTCTGCCTAATATTCCTATTAACATGAATTATCATTCTTCACACTGCCTCAGAGGCCAGCCTCCTCAGCAGAAATTATAGCCAAGGGGGAAAGGCTAAGTTGTATTTGGGAGCAGGAAAGAAAGCTACCCAGGAGGCAGAGATGAGGAGGATCAAGTTCAAAGCCAGTGCCAGGCAAATAGTTCACAAGATCCTATATTGAAAAACATCACAAAAGGGGGCTGGTAGAGTGACTCAAGCGGTAAGAGTGCCTGCCTAGCATATTTGAGGCCCTAAGTTCAAACCCCAATGCTGCCAAAAAAGAAATTTTTTTTAAATTAGAAAAGGAGATATGTGATGAGGGATAAGAGGAATTGCTTTATTTTTTATTTTTTGGGGGTTGCTGAAATCTAACCCTATGCATGTGCTCTACCATTTGGGCCATGCCCCCAGTTCAGGAATTCCTTTAGAAGAGTGAAATTCCTGAAAACTCTCTCACACATTACTTTGCTCTTACACACCTTGGGCCCACATCCCCTATACACCACCCCACACACAGGTGGTGATCTTTGTGAAGTCTGTACAACGGTGCATCGCCCTGGCCCAGCTCCTAGTGGAGCAGAATTTCCCAGCCATTGCCATCCACCGTGGAATGCCCCAAGAAGAGAGGTGAGTTGGAAGGGGGTTTGTGTCCTTGAGAGGAAAAGGGACCATTGGAGAGAAGGGAATCTCAACATTTTTCTAATTTCCTTTCTCACAAAGGCTTTCTCGATATCAGCAGTTCAAAGATTTTCAACGACGAATTCTTGTGGCTACCAACCTGTTTGGTCGAGGCATGGACATTGAGCGGGTGAACATTGCCTTCAATTATGACATGCCTGAGGATTCTGACACCTATTTGCATCGGGTAGGCCCTCACCCGGGATACCCCACTATCCCACCTCCTTTTTCTTACATCTTTGTGTACCTTACATCTTCCTCTTCTCCAGGTGTCTTCCTTTTGGGGATTCATTCTTTCCTTTTGGGGATTCATTCTTACCTTTTGTTGTCTTCAGGTGGCCAGAGCAGGCCGGTTTGGCACCAAAGGCTTGGCTATCACGTTTGTGTCAGATGAGAATGATGCCAAGATTCTCAATGATGTTCAGGACCGCTTTGAAGTCAATATTAGTGAGCTGCCTGATGAGATAGACATCTCCTCCTACAGTGAGTTGACTTTCTGAGCTTGACTCCCCACTTCTTGAGATACTTCTTATTCCATGGTGTGTTTGTCTTAAATCCCCTGTGTAGGTAGTGGGCATCTAAGGTATAATGGTTTCTTAGCTTTCTGTCCCCTACCCCCAATTCCTAGTCTTTGATTCTGTGTTAGGATATTTTTTGACCTGTATATAGATTCTTCTCATCATATGATTTGTCTTTCTCCCAAGTCTATCCCTTGAATCCCCACAGTACACAAGCATCTGCATGTGTGCACTTTTGTGTTCCTGTGTCCACTTTTAATGCCTTATTCTAACTGTCAGTGTTCTCTCTTAGTTGAACAGACACGGTAGAGGACTCGCCCATTCTGGAACGTGACAGTCTGTCTCTTCAGGAGAGGACAACAAGTGTGGGAATGAAGACACTACTGCCACCTGTCCCTGACAACCCCTAGGCCCGAGGCTTTCTCCTTTTGCATCACCATCACTCCTAAACCTGTTCCTGATTTATCAGAATTTTTTTTTAACAAAACTAAAAATGAAACAGATGTGTCTGTAGTATCTGTAAGTGCTCTGTCTTTTATTGTGTTTATGCTGAGGTTATTTAGTGCTTGATCCAGCATAAATTTGTGTGAGGATTATGAACCTTGCTGTTGGCATGGTCAAAATGGGGGAGTGGGACTAAACATGCAGAGACCATAGCATCCCAACTACCTTCCTATTTCTGGCTTTCAATTTCCATTTTCTTGATGGCCTGGCATAGGCTGGGCAGTTTCTGGAAGGGTTGGGGAAAGTGGGGGCAGTTTGAGGGTGAACAGGGCACTGGTGGGCTTAGGCATCTCCCGGGCTCTCTTGGTGTCTCATCTGCTCCTTCAGCTTCTGAATCTTGAGCATCAGGGCCTGTGCTTCTCATGCCCCCTCCTGCCCTTCTAGCAGAGCCTGGTACAGCTCCAGCTGTTGCTCCAGCAACTCCTCAGCTTGGGCCAGCTCAGCTGTGCGGTGGGGTGGTCCCTGGATGGGAAGAGGGGTTGGGGCCACAACATCAACCAGGGTAGAAGACTGAAGCTCTTGAAAGCTGTGTTGCAGAGCTTGGCAGGAAGTCAGGAATTATGTTCCCTTTCCCTTTTTGGACTTCAGTTTAAGGTCATCTTGTGAAGCCAAAGTGTAGCCTATCTTGGGCGGTGGGAGTTGGCGCTGTGAGGGCGGACAGATAAGACCCAGGAACTCCTGTGCAAGTTTATGGGATAATGAGGAAGAGAGGGCTGGTTGTCCCTCCTCCCTAAGAAATAATTAACTGTTAAATTAGGGGGAAATTCCTGTTCAAGGACTTTGTGGACTACGCAGTTGGGTAAAGGGAGGGTATGGGGGGAGGGAGTCTTGAAGTCTGGACTGGAGTGTGGCAGGGGTAGGAAGGGGCTGGGGAATTGAGAGTTGGACCTAGGCAAGGAACTACAGAGTGTGTAGGGTACAGCCTGGGTTGAGGTGATTCCTTAAGTCCTGCTCTAGTACAGATTTCTCCCCCTCCCATTTGAGTACCACTTACCTTGGGAGGTGTGCCCATCTTCCCACTGCTTACAGAAATAGTCTCTTTTTCCATGCTTGCCCTGGGATTCTGGGAGCAGCACCTCCAGAATACTTGGAGGGCTGGGGGACAGGAGGGCAGAAGGAGGTGAAGGCAGCAGTACTGATCAAGCCAGGGCAAAGGCAGCACCATGGCAGGTGAAGTAGGGAGCTGTCTGAGCTGCTCAACAGCCACCAGAAACTGGTTCCCTCCAGGCCTTGGCTTCACCAGTTCCTACCCCTGCCCTGTTCTGCCCCCACCTTCCTTCCAGCCTAGCCAAACAAAGAGTCCAGGAACTCCTGTTACTGGTTTGAAACATGTTTCTGCCAGTTTTAGAACTTTATTTAGAATGCTGGTAGGTAACTTAGCACATCTTGTGTTTGTTTCTATTAGCAGTGTCTTTCCCTCGACACAGGAATTAACATTGCTGGTTTGTAGACAAGGAAACTAGTGTAAATGGTTTCACTCAGCACTCAGGGCAAATGTCGGTTGGGGCCTGGTCTCAGCCAAAAAGCCCTGCAGCTGATGGGTTGGGCCTGAAAGGGTCACGTCCGGGTCCACCTAACTTGAAATCTCATCCTGACCTGGCTCAAGTACTGAGTACCCCTCTATTTCCCCTTCCTCTGCTGGCTCAGAATGACCTTTTTTTTTTCTCTTGTCCTGTTTTGCATTGCCTGTGAATGGGTTTCCTCTTCATAGGCCTGGGCACCGTCGTATCCCCTATATTTGTGGTTCCTGACAGTATGACACTCATACGGTATCAGGCTTTGTTCAACCACTGAGCCCTCCCTCTACACCTGTACAAAAGCCCTGTTCACACAGTGTGCATGAGTCTTGTGTGCAAATGCTGGGTTTCCTGCACTGTGTTATGAAATAGTGCCCTGTTGTGGCTAGAGGTTTGTCACATCCCTGTGGTGACTCAGAAGGGATGGATGAATGGCCTCAAGTTTGATCACCTGGGAAAAAGGAAGGTCCTTAGAAAAACATGCCTCAGAAGGCAGGATTGCTGAAGAGTGGGCAGCTGCTAACCAGCTCATCTTTGGGACCTCATTTTCTATTGACAAGGAAAATGGCCTTTGCCATAAAAGGATCCAAGAGCTTAGAGGGATGGTCCCAGAGCTCCATGCTTCTCAAACTTGGGAATGAAGTGCCTTTAGATGAGGCCAAAGGCCTCACCTGTTTATTAGCTAACATTCCCACTTCCTGTGAAGAAAAAAGAACCCCTGTAAAAATTTTAGGGGAGAAGAGGTTTCTCTTGTGTCTCTTAGTGGTAAGGTTACATATAACATTTGAATTGCAGTGTATTGCACACATGCCTTAAAGTCTATTATTGGGATAGAAAGAGATCCAAACTACTGTTACAGATACGTGAAACTATTTGGTATAAAGTTAATCTACAAGAGACATTGAAGCTAACAACATTTTTTAAAAAGTTCAGCTGTTCAGGGAAAAACAAAACATGAGATTTCTGCAAGACAATCTAAATGATACATTAATAGCAATCTTTAAAAGTAGTTAACTGAGTTTATGCTTTAGGTTGTCAACTTCAAAGTGAAGTCAAGCCAGTCCAAGGGCTAGATGTGTGGCTCAAGTGGTAGAGGGCCTAGCATGTGTAAGGCCCCAGATAAAACCCCTAACCCCCAATAATTTATAGTAGATAGTTCTAAGCCATAAAGTGAATTTTGGCATTGTTCATCTGTGAGAACAAGAGGAAGTCCTGGAGTTGGGGTCAGTTGGAACCTATTGGATGAGCTGTTAATCTTGTAATCATGAAAATGAAGGACACCTAGTTTTGTGTCCTGAGAGTTTTGGTTTTTTTTTTGTTGTTGATCTATTTTGGCTGATGAAAATGTATATGTTTATGAAGTACAACCTTTTTTTCAGTGCTGGGGATGGAACACAGGTGTTTGCACGTGCTAGGCAAGCACTCTATCATTGAGCTACAGTCTCAGCCCTAACATGGCCCATTTTGATAAATGTTACATGTAGAATGGCTAACTCAAACTGCTTGGCATATGTGTTATCATATATGCATATTTATTTTGTGGTAAGAACAACTAAAAATCTACTTTTGGCAAATTTCAAACATAGCAAGTTTAGTCACCATGAAGTACAATAGATCCTTTGAACTTATTCTTCCTGTCAAATTGAAATTTTGTGTCCTTTGACTAACATCTCTCCATCCTTCTGCCTCAGCCTCTGGTAACTGTCAATTAATTCTCTTTTTTTGGTTCTGGGGCTTGAACGCAGGACCTACACCTTGAGCCACTCCATCAGCCCTATTTTTTGATGGGTTTTTTTTTTGAGATAGGGTCTTGCCAACTATTTGCCCAGGGTGGCTTCCAACCGAGATCCTCCTGATCTCTGCCTCCTGAGTAGCTAGGATTACAGGTATGAGCCACCAACACCTGGCCGATCATAATGCATCTGTTTTTTTAATTTTCCCCTGCTGGCACTGGGGTTTGAACTCAGGGCCACATGCTTGCTAGGCAGGTGCTCTACCACTTGAGCCACTCCACCAGCCCTTATTCTCTCTTGATAGAGTTTGACTTTTATACTCCTGACATGTGAGATTATGTTAGTCTTTCTGTGCCTGCCTTATTTCACTTAACATTCTGTCCTTCAGATTCATCCATGTCACAAATATCAGGATTTCCTTCTTTTTTAAGACTAGTGGAATAGTATTCCACTGTATATATGCCACATTTTCTTCATCTATCTGTTAAGGGACTCATGTTAATTCTATGTCTTGGCTATGATGAATAATGCAATGAACATGATGGTGTAGATAGGTCTTTGACATATGATTTCTTGACCTTTGGACATATATCCAATAGTGAGATTGCTATTTTAAATTTTTTTGAAGAAATTCCATACTGTTCCTCATAATGGTGATACTAATTGCTACATTGTCTTGATTACTGAAGTCAGGCAAAGGCAGTCCTCTGACTTTGTCTTCCTTCTGTATCATCCTGGCTGAGTCTCCTGCCTCTCCATATGAGCTTTAGAATCAGTTTGTGGATATCCACAAAATAACTGGCTGATTTTGTTTGGGATTGGTCATTTGGGAAGAAATGACTTACTGACAATATTGCATTTTATTCATAAACATGGACTATCTCTACATGTTTTTCATGAGAGTTTTGCTAATATAAATCTTGTACATAGTTTGTTAGATTTGCATGTAAGTAGGAGATGCTCATGTAAATGGTATTGTATTTTTAATTTCAAATTCCACTCATTTATTGCTGGTATATAGGAAAATTATTTAATTTTGTTTATTACCTTGTGTGTTGCATCCTTGTTATATTGCTTTTTGGTTCCAGGATTTTTTTATGTGGCATTTTTGGCATACTTAAGAAAGTAAATTTGAAACTTCTTAGGAAAAATACTAAGTTATTATTTTAAAGGAATTATGGCATTGAAGTCTTGAAACTGATCTGGTTTGCTTTATGTTCTCAACTTTGTGACTTATTGAGGAGAATTTTATTATTAAAGGCGTTTGCAAGAAAGACTCAGTGGTGTATCTCTTTTCTCTGTCCCAAACTTTTTTTTTTGGTAGTACTGGGGTTTGAATTCAGGGCTTCATGTTTGCTAGGCAAGTGGTCTACCACTTGAACCACTCCACCAGTTCTAGCTCTTGGTTTTTTTGAGGCAGGGTCTCACTGTGTATTTCAGCCTGGCCTGGAACTGGTAATTCTCCTGCCTCAGCTTCCTGAGTGTGGGATTACAATCTTACACCACCAACCCTCCACCTGCCTCCCGCCCTTCCCCCACTGCCTGTTTTGCAGATTTTTAATAGATACATCTACAAGGCTTAATAGGATATTCTGGTATTGCATTTGGTATTTACTACATTCTGTGGGGTTGGCTGAAAAACAATTGCTTCCTTATTTATGTTAATCAGGTTAAAAAAAAAAACAATACTGAGTGTCCCAATACAATGTGCATGCACATCCCGTAGATGTTAACTCATAGACACAGGTAATCCATTAGCTCCAGTGAAGGGCACTTGGCCTGTGCTGCAGACTTCCAATTCGGAAAGGACTGAGGTTGGTGCTTACTTCTGGTTGAAATATACAGAAAAAATCGTGCTTTCTTGTGCTTCGCTGAACATTAGCGCCATTAGCCCAGACCGCTCCCCTGCCCCATAGGGTCAACTAAGCCCTGCCTCCTACCCTCGCTCACGTCCCCTGTGTCATTTTTGGGTCTCATGAGCCTCCGTGTCCCCCCTCCCCTCCTGGCCCAATCAACCTGGGACCCCCGGCCCACGCAGGAGGAGGGTCTTGTCGGGTCTCAGCCGCCCTCCCCGCTACGCCCAGGCTCCCAAGACTTGAGGTATTTCCACTCCGCCGGGTCTTCTCTTGGCTGCGGGAGGAGATCCTCCAGCTTGATCTCCGTCGGCTACGTGGACGGCGATGCCGCGGACCCGAGGATGGAGCCGCGGGCGCCATGGATGGAGCGGGAGGGGCCGGAGTACTGGGAGCGGGAGACGCAGATCGCCAAGATCAATGCACAGAATGACCGAGGGAACCTGTGGACAGGGCGGGGCCGGCTGGGCGGGGCTGACCTCCGAGATCTTCAGAGTCTCATACGTGTCTAGGGACGCTGTGGATCGGACCAGAGCCTACATCTTCCTGAACCAGGACCTACGCTGCGAGCTCCTCTACTCAGATTGCTAAGCACAAGTGGGACGCATCCCAGGAGGCGGAGCACAGCTGGGCCTACCTGAAAGGCTGGTGCGTGGACGGACTTCACAGATAACTTGGAGAACAGGAAGGAGTCACACTGCAGCGCACAGGCTGGGCCTGGCGGCTCCCAAGGCTGGGCGTGATGGGATCCTGCCTGGACTACTGCTGCTCTCTGGCATCAATAGCCTAAGAGGTTACTGAGATTTCAGATCCCATACCAGAGAGCGACTCACACGGGAGGGCTCACTCTTCTCTACTGACAGTAAGAGTCTGTCTCAGGACGGAAAGAGAAGATCCCTGGAATGTCTGTCAGCAATTCCCTTGACCCAGGCAGCAGATTATGAACCGTAGCCCCTCTTTACAGGTCTGACTGCAGTTCTGAGTCTCGCAGCCTCCACACACTGATTACCAGAAGTTCCTTTTCTTTCTTTCCTCCTCCCCTACACTGGCTCGCCCCGATTCCAGAATTTTCCAAGGAAGAGATTATCCCAGATGCCTGTGTCTGGGCTGGTGTCTGGGTTTTGCCCTCCATCCGCATTGTCCTATCCATTCTCAGTATGGTCACATGAGTGCTGCAGGAGTGTCCCTCCAGCATAGAATGAAAAGTACCTCTATTTTCCAACACTTCCCCTCAGATCCCTTAAAGGCACATGTGACCCATCACCCCAGACCTGAAGAGGACATCACTCTGAGATGCTGGGAAATCACACTTTGGAAATCACCCTGATCTGGCAATGGAATGGGGAGGATCTGAACCCGGTCATGGAGCTTGTGGAGACCAGCCCTGCAGGAGATGGAACCTTCCAGAAGTGGGCAGCTGTGGTGGTGCCTTCTGGGGAGGAGGAGAGACCCACCTGCTATTGGCAGCGTGAGGGGCTCAGGAGGGGATGTGGCATAAACCTTCTTGTCAGGGAAAGCAGGAGCCATTCTGGAGACCCTCAGCAAGGTCACTGCTGCAGCCTATCAGGACCCCTCCCCTCTCTTCCCTTCTCAGAACCTCCTTCTTAAGTTAGTCGGTCTTGTCCTGGGAGTCATTATTAGCTTGAGTTTCCTTGAAGCTGTGGTCACTGTAGCTGGGATTGCCATTGTGATGAAGATAAGTTCAGGCAAGGAAGGGGTGAGGGGTTACAACTCCTGTTCCTTTGAGGATCTGCAGTCACAGATCCAGGGGATTACCTAAATTTGGACATTTTCTGTCCGTTTTTTCTTTCTCCATTTCCTTCTTTCCTTCCACTCATTTTTCATGATGCTAGAGTTCAAACCCAGGGTCTTGTTCATGCTAGGCAAGCATTTTACCACTGAGTTATGTCCCTCCCCCCACACCACTGGAAATTGTGAGTGATGGGTTGACAGAAAGTTGTCACAGCAACTGCCCTGAATTTGTACATGACTCTTGTTCTGCAACATGAGGCAGCTGCTTTGTGTGGGACTGAGTGACACAAGATTTGTTCAAGCCTCTCCTTTGTGACTTCATGAACCCTTGAATTCTCTTCCTAAAGATAGTCCTATTGGCATAATGATGAAGTGGAGAGACCAAGCCCAAACTTGCCTACCATGGATGACTCCATTGCTATCTCAAATTCATGGTATTTGGAGTTGTAATTTCTTACTTCACCCCTGAAAATAAAAATCTGAATGTAAATTTGTTTTCCACTTTTTTTTTTTGTAGTACTGGAGTTTGAATTCAGTGCCTCATACTTGCTCTTTGTAGTTGTTTGTTTTTCGGTGGCCCTTGTTAAAACTCAGGGCCTCACACTTGCTAGTCAAGTGCTCTACCACTTGAGCCACTCTGGCAGTCCATGTGAAGGAGTATTTTTGAGATAGGGTGTTGCTTTTTCCTCTCAGGCTGACCTCAAACCTCGATCCTCCTGATCTCTGCCTCCCGGGTACCTAGGGTTACAGGCATGAGCCAACAGCACTTGGCCCCCATATTCTTAACACAGGAGTTGATCAGTTAAGGAGAAGATTTCTAAAATTTGAGGAAGAAAATAAATGGGAGTTCTGAGGACCTTCCAGAATCTTTTGCTGTGGTGAGTCCTGCAGATGGAGACAGGAGAAGAACGAGAGAAGCAGAGTGTAGACAGGGCTGTGTCCATTTGCTCAGTCCATCTGAGCTTTGATATGGTCACTCTTCAGCTGGGCCTCTTCCCTGTTCCTTAGTTCCTGATCTGCAGTAGAACCTTGTCCCACCAGGACCTGTGATCACAGGGACTCAGACCTCACCAGAGCCTTGTTGTGATTCCAGGACCATGGACAGCAGGGTTTCCTGTGACCAGGTCTGCCTAGGCTTGGGAGAGTGTAGCCCTCCTCCTCCATCTTTTGTGTTTATTTCTTGTTTCTTGGTTGCTATAGAGGATTATGCCTATTCTTTTTCTTGTGAGTGAGTTCTGGTCTCACTCTCCTTTGTTTGTCACCTGACTGTGATATCAGTAGGAGGTGTTTTTGGGCATTGCCCTTATAAGGCCCAAGTGGGCCCAACACACAGGAGTCTCTGTAAAATCAAGAGATGGGTTTCAGGGCTGGTGGAGTGGCTCATGTGGTAGAGTG